GAAAGCAGTAAAACATAAGTGCATATATACTGTACTGCATCTCAGTCCACCAAGAAAACTGCTCAAAATGATTTATCTTGACAGTAAGTGGCTTTAAATATCATTTTCTCAGACGCTTAAGACTTCTTTTAATTTAATTTCCAGGCATAATGGCCTTTAAGTACAGGTTATTCATGGAAATTAGCTATAGGGCTGCAGCTAATTATTATTTTCATTGTCGATTAATCTGTTGATTATTTTTTCGATTAATCGATTAATTGTTCTATAAAATGTCAGAAAATGGTGAAAAATGTCGATCAGTGTTTTCCAAAGCCCAAGATGATGTCCTCAGATGTCTTTTTTCATCCACACCCCAAATGTACTCAGTTTGGTGTCACAGAGGAGTAAAGAAACCAGAAAATATTCAAATTTAAGAAGCAGGAATCAGAATTTTTACTTACTTTTCTTTAAAAATTACTCAAATCGATTGATCAATTACCAAAATAATTGCTGAACAATTTAATAGTCGACAACTAATCGATTAATCGATTGATAGTTTCGGCTCTAATTAGATATAAGATGGTCCGCTTGCATAAAAGTTTGCAGAAAAAACAGGAGTTTCCAAAATTGGAGTTCAAAGATTAAAAGCTACAGAGCAAGTTAGACTCCTAACAACCACCTGGAAGACCGGGTAGGCACCAAAACTGCCCCCATCAGATAAACAGCACTTAAAGCTTTCATCTCTGAGAGAGAGGAGAAAATCAAGCTGCTTCAGATCTGAAAACATCCACAGGTGTTTCTGTCCATCCTTCCACTGTGAGAAGACCACTCAGCGTTATGGGTCTGAAAGGATGTGTAGCTGATCAAGAAGAACCTCACTGAGAAAAGGAGACGGACACATCAAACAAAGAAGCTGAACGATGGACTGACCACCCCAGAGTCCAGACCTCAGCACCACTGAATGTGTTTGATTACTTCAGAAAATGATCAACCAGCTTCTAAGACTGAACTTTGGAGGTGTGTCTGCAGATTCTTTGAGGAACTGAAAGTGGGTCTCCTGAAGAGAATGGAAGCTGGAATGAAGGGAAAGAATTGACACAATAAACACTGAAAAGACTGATATTATATTTAGTTGTTGAGACGTCTGTGTGATTCTACATGTTAATTTTAAATGTAATAACAATTATTAAATTAAAAGATTGCTGAATTAAACAGTGAACAGCTCCAATTATAAAAGTATAATCAATACATTTTAGAGAATCCCAAGCCAAAAAATGTAAATTTTTATTTTGGGACAGGGAGATATAATAATAATAGTTATGTCTCTTTTATCCTTTTGTTTTGTCTTCGTTTTCTCTCTCTTTCTTCCTCTTCTTTCCTCTCTCCCTCGCACAAAGGGTAAAGTCATTAGCTGAGTGTTATTAAGTGTGTGCGAGCGTGTGATCCGTCTCCTGTCTCCAAACCAGCTTTACTGAGCTAAGGCCACAGTTTCTTCATCTTTTGATGATTTTAATTACAGTGTCTGTCAGCCTTCTCTTCTGAAAACAAACTCGAGGAGAACATGAAAAGACGACACAAATCCTCACCCCTCCACCCCAACTACTACTGCGCGGCAACGGGGGCTTTGATTTCTTGCCTCAGATGGGGAGAGAGAGAGAGAGAGAGAGAGAGAGAGAGAGAGAGAGAGAGAGAGAGAGAGGGAGGGAGGGAGACGCTCTGTGCTAAGCTTTCAGCCTGCTGGGGGCTTCACAGCACTGTTGACTGAGGACTACACTTTTATCTCTTGTGGAGACAGAATGTAAGCAGTCAGAGGGAAAAGGAAAAACAGTGACGAGTGCTGTAAACTGTCTGACTGCCCTCACTGCCCTCCAGCCCAGCTCATGGACCATCAAAAGTTTGGTAATACCTAAACTTCCACATTGTGTTTAATACACATGAACACGTTTTCTTCGTCAGCTTGCAAAAGCACACCAAATTAGTGCAAAACGTTTACTTTTGGCCATTTTTCTTCACGAAAACTGAAAGAACAGCTGCTGAAAGCCCTAATTTGAGAATAAAGCCAATGGTCAGGCAGTGTTTAAACCACCTTTATGCAAAAATTACTTGGAATATGTACTTTTAACAAAAATTTATTAAAAAAAACACTTAACTGAAGGGCAGCATTCATAAGACTACATGACACCTACATGACAACTGACGTAAACCTACATATCGCTGCTGTCGGAACAAAACCTCGTATCTCCAAAATGGTAACTTTACAGGAGAATGAAAAAAACATACTTTACTTCTAATGTAAGTCAATGGAACCAGACTTTTGTCCAAGTAATTTTGGGCTATTTCTTTTGGTCCATTCCTCATGAAATGTACACACAATGTAAAGGCCAACAAGTATTTTCAAATTATGTCAAAAACTGAAAAATGACAAAAATGCAGATACAAGGTCTTATTCTGATATAAGAAGATAAACATTTACAAAAGCCAGTTTTCACAAACGCTGCGTCATTTCAACTTAACAAGGGTTACGACAACTGACGCCTGGAGAAATAAGATTTTATACATGTCTACACAGATTTATGACAGGCTTATTATATGTTAATAATAATTTAATCACAACCTGCTCTTCAGTTCCAAAGGAGACACTCTAATGAACATGAAGCTGAAGATAAAAATATCTAAAGGAAAAGCAAACAAAGGATTAGCTGGGCTGTTTTCCTGCTGGCTTAATATTTTTTTGTGATTTGCAACCAACTGCATTGCTCTAAATATCAGCAATCTCCACTGAAAGACATCAATAACCATGAGGAAAGTGTATAAAGCTGAAGGACCTATCATATTTCTGAAAGCCGTCTGCCGCTGGGGAGCCTCTTCGCCACCACGGCAGCATCTATATAATTATCCAATCCATCAGTGACACATTTTCAGCGTACAATTGTTCCTCCCTTAGCCTGGAGAACATTTAGCCAGAAATCATCTAGGAAACTTAAGGACCTCAGGAACATCTCCTTCTAAATATGATCAGAGTTAAAGAAAATCCAGTCGTTTCAAAGCGAAGCTCAAACATCTAACAAATGCGGCTGGAGAAATGGAGAAGTGCACTAATGACGATGGCAAAGCGGGCGAAATAAAACCCAGCCCCTAATTTCAGACTTGAATTGTTTACTTCACTTTCTGCCTCAGAAGACTCTAAAACGGGTGCTCGAGGCTCACTGAGCTGGAAAAGGGATTTATTTCCACTTTCAGCAGTAGTTCAAAGTCAGAGAGAGACATCAGAAGTGCTGCATGCATGTGCATGCCTCAGCCCGACAGTCTCCAAACAGGACTTTCCCTCAGGTCTTAGCCTAGCGGAAAGGCCAGGCTTTCCCTCAGGTCTAGTTTGGTGGGACGTCTAGACCTTCCCTCAGGTCTTAGTCTAGCGGAACGGCCAGGCTTTCCATCGGGTCTAGTTTGGTGGGACGTCTAGACCTTCCCTCAGGTGTTAGGGAAGCGGAAAGGCCAGGCCTTTCCTCAGGTCTTAGCTTGGTGGAATATTGAGACTTTCCTTCTGGACTTAGCTTGGCAGAAGAGACAAAGGTTCTCTCAGGTTTTAGCTTTGAGACACCTAGATCTTTCCTTAAGCGTTAGCTCTAAGGAACCAAACTTCCCCTGAGGTCTTGCCTTGGTGGGGCATTTAGATTCCCCCCCCAGGTCTTAACTTGCAGGACAGATCTTTGCTTGGTGGACCAACCAGACTGGTAGCTTGGTAGGAAGGTCAGACTTTCCGTTAGGTATTACCTTGGTGGGACGTCTAGACCTTCCCTCAGGTCCTACTTCAGCGACACCATCAGACTTTTTTACATTTTCACATTTTAGCCTGGCCAAATTTTGATTTAAGTCTTGGCTCTACCTGATGGTCAGACTTTCTCGAAGGTACTAACTCAGTGGCACAGCAGGAATTTCCCTCAGCAGGAAAGCCACTTTCTCTCAGGTCTTAGTTTGGTGGGACATCTAAACCTCTGATCAGGTCTCAGCCTGGTAGGAAGGCCAGACTTTATCTCAGGTCCTGTGCTTACCTCAGTAGCACAGACTTGCCCTCAGGTCTTAGCTTAGCGCCACAACCATAATTTACCTCAGAATTTGCCTCAAGAGCACAACCGGATTTTCCTTCATGTTTAAGCTCAAATATAATGTATCTAAGGTTTTTTTTTTATCCCAGTAGCACAACCAGACTTTTCCTCAGCTCTTATCTTGGTGAGATAACCACAAATTACTTCAGTTTTTACCTCACTAGCACATCCAGGCTTTCCCTTGGGTCTTAGCTTGGTGGGACAACCACACATTACCTAAGGTTTAAACTCACTAGCACATCTAGACTTTCTCTCAGATCTTAGCTTAACCATAATATATGGGACAACCATATGGTACCTCAGGCTTTACCTCCATAGCACAACCAGACTTTCCTTCAGGTTTTAGCTCTGCCACATCCATAATTTACCACAGAGTTTACCTCCGAAGCTCAACCAGATTTTCAGTCAGGTCTTAGTTTAGTCCCACAGCCATAATTTACCTCAGGTTTTACTTCAGTAGTACAACAAGACTTTCCCTCATATCCGAACTCAAGCATATCTAAGATTTTGTCTTTATCTCAGCAGCACAACCACCTCAGATTTTACCTGAGTAGCACATCCAGACTTTCCCTTGGACCTAAGACGTTTTATCTCATTAGCACAACCAGAGATTCCCTCACATTTTAGCTCAAACACGATGTATCCAATGCTCAACCATCCTTTGCCTCAGACCTGATCTATTTATTACATTTAGGTCTTTCCTTAGATCTTGGTGGGACATCCATATGTTGCCTCAGTACAGCACATCCTGACCAGACTTTCCCTCAGATCTTGTCTTGGTGGGCTACTTCCCCTCAGATCCACCAGCAGCAACACCTTCTCTGAGGTTTTATTGGCCAGGTGGGACAGTCAGTCGTCCCCCCGGCTCTTATTCTCTCTTTTCAACACCACCACAGTAAATAATCATTGTTAACTTACTTTTTTCCACGCAGCTGCTGTGAAAAAGAGATGAACTGGCCTGAACAGCGCAGCGTCCGTGAGCTAACGGCGTGCACCTCATCAAACAGCCCGCACTGGACTGAACCGGACACTCAGCTCCGCTGTACACACACGCAAACCAGCGTCCAGCGAGCAAGACGTTTTTGAGCGTTAACGTGTTGGTTTCCACCGCCACCAAACTTCACCTCAGATCACAGCCTGGAAAACAAAGTCAGGAATTTCCCTGAATCCCACACCGCATTCCTGAGACGCGGCTGGCGTTACCTGCAGGAGGACGAGAGGCGGATTAACTTCCAGAGAAAAGTCCTCAGCTCCGCGTTCCTCGGACGGGCTGCGGCTCCACTCACCGCAGGGGAGTCAGCGGGGCGGCGGCGCTCAGGATCACCGGGACAGGATCACCTTTTCCTCAGCTGACCAGCTTTAACGCTCCGTCTTCTCCGTGTGGTGTTTTGTGGGCGAGCTTGGCTCCTCCTCGCAGTGAAGAAGAGGGCGCTGATGCTGTCCGCCCGGAGGGAACCTGACTCAGGTAGAGCAGCGGGGGAACGCGGAGAGGCTCAGGCGCCCCCTGCTGGTACACACCGCGGTACTACAACACTGGCACATAAACTGCTCTGAACCTTTCAGAGCCTCGACACTGCAGTCAAACTCAGACTAATTTCTGTTTGTTTGTTTATGTTGCTGTTAAATTACTATTTGAGTTTCAAATATGTGTTTAATACTATATTTAAATAACTATTTAAAATAATTGTTCGAATTTGAATGTATGAATATACATCTATACATATATATATATTCTAACAAACATCAAACTATTGTGACAATTACTGTTATTGTTGTTGATGTTGCTGTTGTCATCGTTGGTGTTATTGACTACAAGTATAACTGCTACTACAACAACAACAAGTACTACTACTATTAATAATAATAATAAAAATATAATAATAATAATAATAATAATAATAGCTTCAAAAAGAAAATAAAAAGATAAAATATAATATAATTGTTTTCAATGCGATGGACTGGCGACCTGTCCAGGGTGTATCCTGCCTTCCGCCCAATTACAGCTGGGATAGGCTCCAGCACCCCACCGCGACCCAGAAGGATAAGCGGTTTAGATGATGGATGGATGGATGTTTTCATTTTTATAAAGGTCTGGATTCTGTGAAACACTACTCTGAATCTATACCTAAACCACGGAAAGGTGTGGTGATAATGTAGAATATGCAGAATGATGTGATAATATTTAATATATATTTTTTGTCTATACTGAGTCAAAAGTCAGACCAGTTTATTTGCACTGTACTCAAAATGATGGATAGACAGACAGACAGACAAACAGACAGATAGACAGAGTCAGACAGATTGATATATCAATAGATAAATAGATGGATATATAGACAGATAGACATATAGATAGACAGATAGATAGAGAAACAGACAGACAGACAGACAGATAGATAGACAGATAGATAGATAGATAGATAGATAGATAGATAGATTTATTTATTGATAGGCAGATAGGCAGATAGAGTGATAGACAGACAGACAGACAGACAGACAGATAGATAGATAGATAGGCAGATAGATAGACAGACAGACAGACAGATAGATAGATAGATAGATAGATAGATTGATTGATAGGCAGATAGATAGACAGACAGACAGACAGATAGATAGATAGATTGATTGATAGGCAGATAGATAGACAGACAGACAGACAGATAGATAGATAGATTGATTGATTGATTGATAGGCAGGTAGACAGACAGACAGACAGACAGACAGATAGATAGATAGATAGATTGATAGGCAGATAGATAGACAGGCAGACAGACAGACAGACAGATAGATAGACAGACAGACAGACAGACAGACAGACAGACAGACAGATAGATAGATAGATAGATAGATAGATAGATAGATGGATGGATGGATGGATGGATGGATGGATAGATAGACAGACAGACAGGCAGGCAGGCAGGCAGACAGACAGACAGACAGATAGACAGACAGACAGACAGACAGACAGACAGATAGATAGTCAGACTCATATCAGTAAAGTTTCTCTAAGATTATACAGCAGGTTGTTTGTAGCTGGCGGAAGCTTCCGGCTGCGTCTGAGGGCTCTGAGACGCTTGTAGTTTTGGGCAGCTTTACTCTCGCTGTGTCCTCTTTCATCCTCAAAGGTCTTTACCTTCCCAGCCCTGCTGATGAAAAAGCACATGAAAGGAGCGTGTCATGTTTTTACATCCTCACAGTGGTGGGGTGGGGGGTCGTATCTTTCTGGGAAATGGCTTTCAAGTATCTCGTGGGCTCCATCCCTCCGTGTCGAGGGTGTATCGACGTGTTTATTTACCTGTTGATTTGTTTAAAGGGGTTTCCTGTTTTTCCTCTAACCCAGGTGTTTTGGATGGATGGTGAGGAGCTGACCAGTCAGGCTAAAGAAAGTGGAGACGCTTTCTCTTCATCTAGAGCAAAGACCAGATAAAAGTGGCTTTGAAATTCCACCAACCCAGCAATTATAGCATCGGTGCATTGATGTGAAGGAGGATGATAAGGTGCATTCTTCCTGTTGGTGGTGGATGAGAGAGCCAGTGAAAACAGTAAACAGTGAAAGCAGTATGTAAATAAACATATACTTAGCGCATAATAAAAACACACTCCCCGGCCACTTTATCAGAAACCCCTCTCTTGCAGCTTCATCTTGCTGGTGTACAGTTAGAGACTGTAGTCCACCTGTAGATGCATCTTTTGAATTAACCATCCTCTAGTCCTTCATTAGTGGTCAGTGTCACTGCTGTGCTGAGAACTGACCGTTGATGAATGAGGCAGAGGGGGGCTGATGAATTTTGCACCAACAGATGGTCTACAATCAATAACTGCACACCTACAGTCTTGAAAATACAGGTGCCTAAAGGGGTTCTTTGCACGATGCCATAGAAGAACCACTTTTGGTTTCCTGAAGCTGAACCTTTCAGTGGATGGTTCTTCTGAGAACCATTTTAGTAAATGAGATGTGTTTGAAGAACTTTTTAAAGTTTTAAAAAGAACCTTCACATGACGTAAAGGTTCCAGGAAGAACCCTTAAATTGTTATGGAAAAGGGCTGCCCAAAACTTGACCCATGGACCAGTGAGGATGTTTGATTTGGCCTGTGAGAAAGTGGCCAGTAAGTGGCAGCACAAGGTGGGTGTTTCTAATAAAGTGGCCAGCAAGTGGAAGCACAAGGTGGGTGTTTCTAATAAAGTGGCCAGCGAGTGGAAGCACAAGGTGGGTGTTTCTAATAAAGTGGCCAGCGAGTGGAAGCACAAGGTAGGTGTTTCTAACAAAGTGGCCAGCGAGTGGAAGCACAAGGTAGGTGTTTCTAACAAAGTGGCCAGCGAGTGGAAGCACAAGGTAGGTGTTTCTAATAAAGTGGCCAGCAAGTGGAAACACAGGGTAGATGTTTCTAATAAAGTGGCCAGTGAGTGGAAACACAAGGTAGGTGTTTCTTTCACTGTAACCATCTCACTGTTAGATACTGGGTTCTCCATTAACATCTAAGTTCTTAACCTCTTATCTGTCCTGCCTTAAATCATACTCCAAAAACAAAAGTGTGTCTATTATCTTTTATCTATCTGTCTGTAATGCATTTGTTAAAAACCTGAAGTGTACGACCATTAGACACTGTCCAGTCCCTGAACTGTTCATTTCAGTGGTACTGAGGGCAATAGCCGATGTTTTTATGTGTTGGTTCTTTCAACCTTAAAGCTTAGATCTTCCTTCATTCATGAATTTATTACTGGCTTTGAAGAAGAGAGGGTGGTGGTTTGATTTTTCCTTCAAGTTCTATAAAGATCTCATCTGAATCTGCCGCTAGTAGCACAAATAGTTGTTAGCTGTGGTCACCAACTTGTCTGGCGAGCAGCCCACTTGTAGACAGTGCATTTGCAAACAAACACGAAATAACAGACATTTATTTACAGGAAGAGTACATAAACACAGTAAAAATGTCATATATTTGTTTTTCACAATATCCACCATTGTCTCAAAGGCTCATTGTCCATCTTATCAGCTCCACTTACTATATAGGTGCACTTTGTAGTTCTACAGTTACAGACTGTAGTCCATCTGTTTCTCTGATACTTTGTTAGCCCCCTTTTACTCTGTTCTTTAGTGTTCAGGACCCCCATGGACCCTCACAGAGCAGGTACTATTTGGGTGGTGGATCATTCTCAGCACTGCAGTAACACTGACGTGGTGGTGGTGTGTTAGTGTGTGTTGTGCTGGTCTGAGTGGATCAGACACAGCAGCGCTGCTGGAGTTTTTAAACACCTCAGTGTCACTGCTGGACTGAGAATAGTCCACCAACCAAAAATATCCAGCTAACAGCGTCCTGTGGGCAGCGTCCTGTGACCACTGATGAAGGACTAGAGGATGACCAACACAAACTGTGCAGCAGCAGATGAGCTATTGTCTCTGACTTTACATCTACAAGGTGGACTGAGAAGGTAGGAGTGTCTAATAGAGTGGACAGTGAGTGGACACAGTGTTTAAAAACTCCAGCAGCACTGCTGTGTTTGATCCACTCGTACCAGCACAACACACACTAACACACCACCATCATGTCAGTTTTACTGCAGTGCTGAGAATGATCCACCACCCAAATAGTACCTGCTCTGTGAGGGTCCATGGGGGTCCTGAACACTAAAGAACAGAGTAAAAGGGGGCTAACAAAGTATCAGAGAAACAGATGGACTACAGTCTGTAACTGTAGAACTACAAAGTGCACCTATATAGTAAGTGGAGCTGATAAAATGGACAATGAGCGTAGAAACATAATGTTATGCCTGATCGGTGTTTTTGTACCTTTTCATAACCGAATGTTTTAAAACAGAACAGTAAAATAAAAGCCTGGAGGCGAGACGGGGTGTGTGGAGTCAGTATCATTTCAGTGGAATATGGTACAGTTATGCCCCCTGACTAAAGGTATAGAGATGAACCCTCGAGGGGACCACCCCAGTGACAAGAGGGGCACTGCCCCAGTGACAGTTTACTAACGTTTTTGAGTCCAAGCAGAGTTTTAATCAAAATGCCTTTACTATCAGAATGAGGTGTTTTGGAATTTTATTTGCATACTTTATTTGTCGATATATGGCTGTAGATCACATGAGTCACATGATCACATGAGT